GATGGAACAGGCTCTGGGAGATTTGTGCTTTTGCCAATTAGCAATTGGTATGCTCACACATAAAAAACATTTTTTGTTATTAGGGGATTTTTAGTCATTGTTTTTAGATGTGAACAAAACAATTGATTAAGACCACGATAGTCATTTAATCTAGTTTTTAAAAGTGGTTTCACAGAGATGTTAAGTGGAGCAGAAAATCCAAGAAAATTTTATAATAATGAATTTGGGTAAAATAATATTATCTATTAAGGTTAAATGAGTAATAAACTATCTGTTTGGATAGTTCTTTGCCACTTAGTTGAACAAAAATAATGGAACAAAATCAGGTCAAATAAATGATGTTGATTTGGTAAATATCGCCTGACTAATTCTCAGCCCTCTCCTCTGTTTTTCCTTTTTGCTTCAATCCATTTAAAATTTCCTTTGCGAGGTTTCATTTTGTGGTCTCTTGATTAAGGTGTGTTATGCTGATCACAGTGTTACTTGTGGTGATTTTCGTGTATTTTTTAGTTTGGCAGAAAAAATTTTTAAGTGTATATATTTAAAAAGTACAAGTTTTAGCTTTACATTATCAGAGCCAAAAAAAACACATTTAAAATCTTACTCAGTTATTTTTACTTTAGATTAATTATTAGTCCAGTAGCCATCGCCACTACTCTCTCAATATCCCTTGTTAGTTGTTCTCTCCTCAGATATAAGCTATTCCTCTTGTTTTTCTCTTCAAAGTTATAATGCTCCACATTTGTAACTGTCCAGAAGTTAACACAGATCTGTAGGAGTTACCTAAACTACATACCAACACATCATTTTTCTGTACTGTCTTTTTTTTTGAAGCTAGTAATAGTGAACAGGTCAGCTATCCAGACCTCCAGAGGGTCCCTCTCTTCAGCTTTCCCATGGAAGACATGATGACACCCAACACAGCCTGGGTGCAGAGACCTCTGCTTGTTTGTGATGTGACTTCCCTTTTATTAATGCCTGATATGAAACTCAGCTAGGAGAGGAGGCAGAAGAAAGGGAGAAGATAAACAATATCTTCCCAAGAAGGAAGGGTGCAGATTTGTGAGGCAATATTTAACCCATTGTGAAAAAAGTCAACAATTGCAATTGTTTGTGTGCTCAAGTTCATTTATATGTAAAAAATGTTGTGGTACCTTTATACATGTTGACATTTGTGCAAAGAGAGGAAGGCTGTTTGGAGAGGATATGCAATTGGGAATCTCATGTTCAAGTTTTGGTTACTTATGTTTGATGATCACAAATAACGGAAGGTTTTTCCTAATGCTTCAGGCCCCTTCATTTCTTTCATGATATCCCAACTCAGGACAGGAAGAATTGGGTTGAATTGCTGTACTGGCCTTTACCTTGAAAACCAGATCTGATTGAACAGGAAGGCAAGGATGTGGGGAAGACTCACGAAGAAAGGGGACCTCTGACCTGTGACCAGACAACTTTTCCCGTGCTATGTTCCTGGCAGAGTTAGTAACTACCAAAAATATTGATGAACGCATTATGAAACTCCCCTACTCAGATCACAATTGTTCTTACATGATTTTCTGATTTTACAAGTGCACTCCATAAAGAGTATTATAGAGGCATTTATCTGCCTCATAAAAGAGAATTTCATCCTCCAACAATGTACACAAAGCCAGTTAAAGTATCCTTGTACACTCTCATAGACCTTCAATAAAGGCAAAGAAAATTTGTCTCAAGAGCCTGGCGAATACTTCAAATACTGCAGAGAGGTATAATGGAATTGTTTTCAAAGTGATTGTGGCCCATAAACATGGCAGAGTTACCAAAGAATTGATATATTGACTTATTATATGGCTAATTTTCCATATTAAAAAATGAGGTTGATTATAATGAAAAGAAACATTCCGTAAATATTTTCTGAATGTCAATTATGTGCCTGCTTCTGTTCTAGAGATTGCGATACAAAGATAGGGCAGACATCCCTGTTCATCAAGGTTTATGTTACTACTAGCTGCTTTTAAAACCCTTGACTTAAATAGGAAAGCACAGAATTCTCAGGTCTCTTTCATTCACAGACATTATCTCAATGACTGTGAAGTAACCGTGGCATGGTCTGAAACTCATTTCTTTTATACGTTTTAGCTAGTGTGATAATTCCACAGTCTTACATGAAAGAGAAACAGTCGTCAAGAAGCAAGAAGAGTAATTTAAACATCTCGTGTTAAAGTTCCTGCTAAATTTCGTCAATATGCCCAATGCTGCCTTTACATTCCTATGATTTTTTTTTAAAAAAAGTATTTTGATGCCATTATTTGTATCCATCTAGATTTTTTGGTTCATGATCAATATAGTTCTCTGGCACTGACTAGAACTATCAAAAATCTTTTCATTCACTGTAAAAGTTGTCTAAAACATTTACTATAGATAGCATTAAAATGAAAAGTAATATCACTTCACAAACTAACTTTAACATAACTAACTTTAGTTATGTTAACTAAACTAACATAACATAACTTTAGTATCAAACTAAAAAATATCAGCATGATAATAATTCCAACACCTATTTTTTTTTAGTGCTTTCAGTTGTTCTAGACACTATCCTTAGCTTTTCATGATTTGCTTATTTAATCCTTTGAAGTAGATGCAGTTATTATCATTTTTGTTTTATAAGTGAGAGGCTTGAGGCTTCATCTCTGGGACTTATTTTCTTAGAATTTAAATAACTTATTCAAGATTGTATAGCTATGACATGACAGAGTCAGAATTTGAGTCTTTCTCTGATGCAGATGCCCACAGTCTTTTCCAGTGTGTAGTATTAACAACTCCTCAAATTTGGAATTCCAAAAGTTCATTTGCTACTTAGTTTTTTAGAAGTTGGATACATTTTTACACTGAAACAATATTACCAAGTTCACTTAATCCATAAAGTAGCCTAAATAATTTAATTTAGCTATATCACATTTAAAAAAAAATTTGTCTTAGGGACTAAAGTATTTATGTCCTTGTTTTTAGGAGAAAATTCTCTTGAGGAAGGAGAGCAGTGAGACTGGAAATGTTTTTTGGCGGCAGGTTTCACATGCTGGTCTCAGTCCTCTCACCACAACTCTAACCCATCCCTCCCCATCCCCAGGAACCTGGTTTGCCACTAGTACAAAGGGAGCCTCATGACCATGCCCCGCCCCATGCTGACAGCCTTTGCTACTGAAGGCCGCTTACCAGGAGTGCCTGGCGGTGATTCCTGGCTCGTCATAGACCCATCCATGCACTAGTGCACTGTTTCCTAGTGTAAGCACCTATTTGCCTTCTTTAACTACAGGTAACCTGTCTTCTCAGGTGGGTTAGCTCAGACCTCTCTGCAGTGAACTTTCAACCTAATTAAGGGGACTACATTGGAATATCAATACATGATCCCAAGTTAATTCTTGTTTCTAATTCTAAGTCTAGAACAACTAGCCCTTCTAGAGTGATTTCTAAATGGACCAAATTCATTTTTGATCCTTAGATGGGAGATCTGGTTATTGGGAGAATGTGTTCAATGCACAAACACGGTTAATATGCTCCAATAATAGTTTACCTGCTCTGGTGGTTCTCAACATACATCGATTAGCTGTACATTGGATTGTTCTGGAATGCCTTTGGGAATTTCAAACTTTATAGAGATATTTTTAACAGGAATATGTTCATTTGAATAGAGCTCAAAGTCTATGCAGCCTGTTTCTTCCAGTTGTGTGAACTATTTTAACGTATTTAATAAATTTTACCTTTCTTCTACCATATATGGTATTTTCCATAAGCAGTTTGACTGTCAGAAATCATATAATGAGTAACAGACAAGAGAGACAGGTAGAAAGATGGAAAAGCTTAAGACAGTGTATTTTCTGTTTTGATAGGGAGCTATCTTTTGGCTTCATGTTCTTAAAACTAATTTTTCTCCTCTCCCTCAAAAAAAATATAAGCAAATGTTAATCTTTTGCCTTAATTATCCTATTGTTGGTTTATTTATACGTAGTCAAATAAATTCATAAACCAAAGTGCGGCATAGTGATTTAAGTGAGTATTTTGTCATAAATTCTCATTCCTCTGTGTTCTGGGGTACGTTTGGAAGTTTATTTTGTAACTAATTTTATATCTCTTGCATAATCAGAATTCTGCAGCTGAAATAAGTAGGCTTTGGAATATAAAGTTTTTTCTGTGCTTCTGGTCAAGTGTCTCCTGGGTTCATGCCAATGATGAATGGGGCTCACAAATATAGTTGGGTTTTCTCACCCCTCTGATGATCGATGTAATTCCATCCCATAAATGTTTATAGAGGAAGACCCTACTATGCACAAGCCATGCAGTGAGATATTCGCTAAATATTTGCGGAGTAGCAAATAACTGTGTGCAATAGCGTAACCTAACATGCTACACAGCATATGTGCCAATAAGTTTGAAGGGTGGAAAATGGAAACCACTGAGCTTTTCAGCTGATCACAATCAAATCAGAACACATCAAAACAGCTGGTGTTCTGTGAGTCAGAATCAATCAACAGGTTTTGAATCACCTCATACTTCTTTATTTCTCTTTACAGTTTTACAGAAGAGATTCAAACCAGCATATGTCCTTCCTATTTGGTTGAATCTCTGCTTTGAGCTGCTTTGCTTTCGTATTCTAATACCAGTGAATGAAACTGACTGTAATATAAAAGAAAAAAAAAATAAAGGCTAGCATTAAAATGATTTTTTAACCGACGTTGCTCCATTTGGGTTAAATAAACCATATGCTCAGATAGAATGCCCTAGAAGAAACAAGAAATTTTAAGGTTGTGTTATGGAATGAGGATAATTCTGCATCAGCAGTATTTATATAATGTACAAATATGGCAACAGTTATTGTAAATTTCTATCTAAGTTTATAATTAATATTTTAATGATTATGCATAATAATGATATCTTGGGAAAGTCAATATTAAGTTAGTAAATGAAAGATAAAAGTTATCATGTGTTTTGGTTTCTGACAGCAGCTCTTCTCTCTGTTCTGATAGGTACCTGTTACACCATTCTTTGGCGAAGGTTATTTAGCAGTGGTGACCACTCCCAATCGAACACTCTACAAATTATTATCTCTGGACTCCCAGCTGACACCCTGCCGGAGGCAAGAGCCACTAAGCCAACTGGAACTGTGCCTTTTCTCTTGTCAAGGTTTTTTTCTTACACAGGAAAAAGAAAGAAAAAAAAAGATGAAGTTGGGCAAAGTGGAGTTCTGCCATTTTCTTCAGCTAATAGCTCTCTTCCTGTGTTTCTCTGGGATAAGTCAAGCAGAACTCTCAAGGTCCAGATCAAAGCCCTATTTCCAATCAGGGAGGTCCCGGACCAAGCGCAGCTGGGTGTGGAATCAGTTCTTTGTGCTGGAGGAATACATGGGTTCAGACCCCCTCTATGTAGGAAAGGTAGGGCATTTGGCCTTTTGAAGTCACAAATGATTATTGTTAATGTCTGTGGTTGGATGGAGAACTGCTAATTTTTGCTTTGGGGATGGAAAACACAAAACTATTACTTCTATGAAATAGTTTGTGAAGTTCTGGCATTAGCCACTCTGAAATTGTAATCCTGGTATTTATTATCCTAGCAGTGAAATCATAACTTAGGGAGTGATCCTTTATGCCTAGAAATAGATGAGGATTCTACAGACACCTAGTTTACCATGATTGTGGCACAATGGTAAAACTATTATTTCCAAAACTGGAGCAAGAATATTCACTCATAAGTGAAGAGTAGTGGGTTCTTATAGCTAGTTGATTTTTTTAGCTTCTTTTGGGGGGCGGGGTTACTATGTAAATGACGTCCATACTAATGTTATCTTATATATTCTTTCCTGATACTTGGAGCTTAAAAACTGCAAAGTGAAATTATTGAGCCTGTTATCTCTAAATTATGAGCAATTCAAACCCCCTTTTCTTAGTGGTGGTCTTGTTTTGATAGATCTTTTTTTGTTTTTTTAATTTGCTTTTTAAAATTTTCTTTTGGTTAAAAATGAATGTGGACGGAAGTCAGTTAGAAGTGATAGTAGACAGATGGTGGGCAGTTTTTGGTGAATTTGTTTGCTGGAAAAGTAGTATACAAATTGAGTCTTTTTTTCACAGCTTCTTTTTGTCTGAATATTTGGGAAGGGGATTTCCATTCTAATGCCTTCTGAACTGAAGGGCACTTCAAGAGAGTGTGACCTTTCCCCCGCCCATCCTCGTGTCATGTTCCCAGTCCCTAGTCTAGGGCAGGTCCGATTATTTTCATATTTGTAAAGATTTCCTGGATTTCTCAGTTTGGTGCTGAACACTGGTGGAGGTTTTCCAAGTAGAATGCATTGGCAAGAAGTCTATACCTCTGCATTTCTACTCTTCACTTTGTCAGTTTTATGTGTTAATTCTTGATAAAAGGAAGCAGCAAACTGATGAATTTATCCATGAGTGAATTCTCAACTTTGATTGAGGAAGAATCTTTGCTATTTATTCCATGGGTCATGTTTTCATTTGAACACACCTTAAGTAACGGTGAAAAATATATTTTTGTTGACAAGTATCTACATAAGTCAAGGTAATCTTTATTATATTTATTTTAATTTTTCTTTAATGCCTCTGTATTTTACAAGTACTGACTGAAGTGTATTGTAAACAAAAGGATTCAAATAAATTAAAGCTTTCTGGGGTTGTAAATTAGGATTTTTTTTTTTTTAGCCCAGTCATGGCATTTTTCTGTCCTAAGAAAGGATGTGTAAGTACACAAGTTTTTTTTGTGTGTGTGTGCATATATATTTTTTCATAGCCGTTCTATTTTTATCAATAGCACCATCATATATACTGTACATCTACTAAATTTCTCTCTGAATTCCTCTTATTTGTTTTCTTGTAAACAAAGTGAGAGCAATAACCATTCTGTAATCTTATTGACTAAAAAGCTAGCTCTTAATTTTTAAGGAACATTTAAGAAATTCATCAAACTTTTTCAATTGACAGGTCTATAATATTCAAATAATTCATAAAGAATCTGTAGTTATTAGGCAGAATCACACTTTTGCAAGAATGTAAAATTTTCTAATGACAACTAAAATATTTCCATTAATTTGGTTTTAAATGGAGTTGCCTGGGTGAAGCTGACATTTTGAAATAAACATAATTTAAAATTTTAAAAACACCCTATTTTAAATTTTACAATCTTCACAAAATAATTCAGAATGCTTATATCCAAATAATCTGTGAGTCAATTTAAAATTATGAAAATGCATGTCCCTGAAGTTACGTAAATTCCAAATGCATATGAAGCTACTGGGCAATGCTGTTGTTATTTTTTTAAGAGAAATGGTGTGATTCCTTGAGTAGATAACAAGAAATATTCTGTGCTTCCCCTTCAGTTAATCAGAGATAATCGCTTAGCAGATTTTATGTGATAGGAAACAAGTTTATCTCTTGCATATTGTATATTGGGAGTTCCATACTGCCATTCACAGTAAAATGTTCAGGATGGAAATGGGTCAAAAAGAAAAAAAACCTTAATTGATTAAAACACGGAAGAAGGGCAATAAAATAATTGGAGATGGAGTGAGTATTTATAGACAAGAGAGACAAATGAAAAGCCTTATAGGGAAATTTGAATTTGCTTGGAAAAAGTGGCAGAGAATTCGGAGTGCTTTAGATGATAGGTATGAGGGCCGGCCCTGTGGCTTAGCGGTTAAGTGCGTCCGCTCCGCTGCTGGCGGCCCGGGTTTGGATCCCGGGCATGCACCGACGCATGGCTTCTCCGGCCATGCTGAGGCCGCGTCCCACATGCAGCAACTGGAAGGATGTGCAGCTATGACATACAACTATCTACTGGGGCTTTGGGGGGGAAAAATAAATAAATCTTGAGATGATATGTATGAGATGATGAACTGATTTAGGCTGGTGGTCTGAATAAGCAGAGGTATAAGAATAACTTTGACCTCAGTACATTTTCCATCCCTTGGGTATGTAGAAGAAACGTATTTTCTTTGTTCTTTTAGTGGAGGGAGGTAATGGCTATGACCGGAGGTTTTTACAGGACAGAGACAAGGAAAACAATTATAGATGAAGATGTTGGAGAATGGATAGGCGGATAATCATGGGAAGAAAAGGGATCTAATCATTACTTTTCACAGACACATGTTTAACCTATACTAGTTTGATGGCCACACTCTTAGTCTTCCTGACAAAATCTAGCTATTTAGGTAATTTGGAAAATATAATTGATGACCTTGATAAACTTGGCAGCTTAATTTGATCACATAATGGATAAGTACAGTGTGTCAAATTGGCTTCAGTTTTATTGCTGACTCTGCCACTTCCTACTAGTTTTATAATTTTGGTTAAGTTACCTAATATTACTAAATTTTAGTTTCCTCGTGTCTAAAATGGGAATAATGATATCTACAATTCAAATATATTACTGAGAATGAGATTAAAATATTTGGAACATATATTCAGTTAATCTAGACGTTATTATATCTACTTTACTACATATTAATTATAAATTAAAACTGGGTTATGGATGATCTCTTGTGTTATGTGTCTAATGTTATATTTGTGATCCTTCAGATGAAGGCAGACATTTTATGTTCTAAATAATACTTAAACTTATTGTAATTAACTAGAGGAATGGTGTGTGTTGGATGTACTTAGAAATACAGCATGTCTTTATATTTGTATATGATTAGTATATGATTTGTATGTGATTATATTTGTATATGGCAAAAATATGGCTAGTGGGTAGATGATTCTACTCTTAAACACAAGGACTTCAGATGTCAGAAAAATCATGTCTCATTTTTTTTAGATCCTCAAATTTGGAGACTATATTAATTACTGGTGGCCAAGAAGATTAGTTAAATGACTGTGCAGTAAATAAAATTTGATCATTAAGACGTTGAGGATAATGAGATCACAAGATGGCTTGTGACCTTATTATTTTAGCCAGTTTACAGGTTTATTTAACATGATAACTCAAGACCAAAGTAGAATAATCTATTGAAGTGAGCAGGAGTGCTTCTAGAACCCTCACGGAGAGACCGCCAAGGCATGGACTTCTGGGCTGTGTTAGAATCTGACCTTTATCATTAGCATACCACCATTTTCTTGTGATACGAGTTGATAAACTGCTGACTCTAAATGTGCAGACTTAAGCAAAACCAAAAGGTTATTAGACATGTCTCTGATGGAGTTCTGTTCTTTTTTATTCAGGTGTAATTAACATATTACATTATATTAGTTTCAGGTGTACAACATAATTATTCAATTGTTGTATATTTTGCAAAATGATCACCACATAAGTCTAGTTAACATCTGTCATCATACATAGTTAACAAAATTTTTTTTCTTATGAGGAGAACTTTTAAGATCTACTCTCTTAGCAACTTCCAAATGTGAAATACAGTGTTATTAACTACAGTCACCACACTGCATGGAGTTCTGTTTTAGAGCATAATAGTGGAGCCTTTCCCTCAGAGTATTTCTTAATTACCATCATGCGTGTTTTCTTGTCCTTTTACAGGGAGAATGAAGTGGAGAGTCCTTTCTTTTCTCCCTGTGACTTTATATCACCCTGAACTGGCTATCTGAAGTACATAGGAAGTAGCAGTTTCCAGCTATCTCATTGCATCACACGTTTCTGGTCCAGTCATTTCTTGACCTTGACATTTCTCACTTAACATCCGCTAACCATCTAACAAAAAAAATTTGTCTACAAAACCACCCAGCCTGTGTTCCATGTATTAAGTGTTTTTCATCTCTTGTAACCGTAATGGGCTGCCAGCGGATTGCTACGCTCTAGGCCATTACTTTCACTGAAATGTGCCTCTTCCGCCGTCCGCTTCCCTAGCTGCTAACATCACTCTTGCCTTTTCTGCTACTCCCCTTTCTTCCCTACTCATTCAGGAAGAATTTATATCTATTACCCAAGTCGAAATCAAATACATAGAAATGCAGTGTGGGATTCACTCTGCGTTAAATTTCAGCTTGCTCCAAAGTGTTGGTGAGCATTTCTGATGCATTTAATTACATCTCAGCAGTCTCTCTCACCAAGAGATTCTCTGTGTCCTGATATCAAAAGCTACGTTTAGTGTTCCAGAAAAGAAATATTCTTCTTGAAAAGAGGTTGTGTTAAAAAATTGAGCTATGAATGAGATTCCTTAACTGGGCAAGTTTATGTTAGATACACACACACAAAAATAATGAATTCCAAATATTAAGTACTTAGGGAAGAGCATATTCATCATGGTAAAATTGACATTTTATAGATTTCTGAGGGAAAAACAGTGTCCTCTAAATATGTAGATTGCCTAAAGATGGTTCCAATCTTAGGATAAAGCAAATACAGTTTGTTGTCCCTATGTATATATAGAAAACCCATTTTGATAATATCTTTATAACCAGAGTGAGTTGAAGAC